CTCTCGATTTTCACCAGCCTTTTACTGATATATTTCTTACATATTTATTTATAGAATTTTAAAAACACATATGGACACGATAACGACGTTATGTCTCAGAACAATCTACGAAGCTTTCGTGAGAACGTAGAGCGGATTAAAATAAATATAAAAGTCCTATACCGTTTTGCGATATTCGTAATAATAACCGAGAAATTAATTACGAAAGGTCAAAGAAAAACGTGTGCTGAATGGTAGAGGACGGACCGCTCGAGTCACAGCGCAGCCCAGTAATATAACGCGTGGATGTCGCACCACTGACTATACTTGTACCGCTGCGCTCCTACGTTTTGCCGCACCGCGCTGAGGCGAAATGTAAGAGCACAGCGGTATAAGTATAGGCAGTGGTGCATTGTCTTCCAATCGCTACGCGCGACATTCGCGCGCTATATTATTGGGTTGCACTGTGACTCGAGCGGTCCATCCTCTACCATTCAGCACACGTTTTTCTTTGAGCTTTCGTAATTAATTTCTCGGTTATTATTACGAATATCGCAAAACGGTATAGGACTTCTATATTTATTTTAATCCGCTCTACGTTCTCACAAGAGCTTCGTAGATTGTTCTGAGACACCCTGTATATACGATTGGAATAATTTGGATTAATGAGAGAGCCGGAAAATGGAACAACAAAATTTCTTCTATCACAATCTCTTTATTATTTTTTTTATTGGCATTTAAAATTTCGGTGAAATTCAAAATTTCGAATTCAGAGTTTCGAATTCAGAGTTTCGAAAGAGATGAAAAAGGAAGAGTCCTAAGCCTAATGTGATCGGCTGCCGCTCGTATCCAATTCCACTTTGGAGTCAGCTTCTTCAAAAAGTCAAGTGAATCAGAAACGCAACGTAAATTAAATAATCGTAATTGAACTGATGACGACTATTGAATGCTACGAATGAAACGACATTCCGATATGTACCGTATGTGTAACAGTCCTGTGCTATAATTTAATAATTTAATTATCTCGCAAACTTGAAATATTTTAAGACCGCTGATTATCATGATTTTTTATCTGCCGAATATAAACATCATTATTTTGGAAGCGACGATAGTTGGTGGTTGACAGCAAGTGTCTTTATCTTTTCCGAAGATGCCGATTGTTTCGACAATTTTCGCTTATTGCGTGCTTATCCGTGACCACGTCGTTAATAAATATGTAAGAAATATATCAATAAAAGTCCGATGAAAGTCGAGGGTTGTTAAATGACTGTGATTTTTTTTTTATTAAAATAAAACCTTTATCTCCTATTATTATATTATTCCTATCACATCCATTTTTACATCTATATTGTTATTTCTGTCATAACCGATTAATAGTCCGATGTTAAATTTGTCGCAATCATGATAACTTGGAGAGAACGCAGTAAACTTCATAGGAAAGAAAGCGCGCGTGACAATTGAGCCAAGGTACTATAGGTTTGTTCGCGTCGTATGCCCCAACGTGCTCCTACTCGCTCCAACGCACTCTGATTGGTCCGCAGTGACGTGAATCAGAGTGCATTGGAGCGTTTAGGAGCACATTGGAGCATGCAACGCGAACAAACCTTATGACACGATCGAGCAAACCGTCGAGGCAAGCCGTCGTACAAACCTGTATATAAGTGCAATACCCTGTACAAAATATACAGAAAAATATTTCAAACAAGTGTTATATGATTCGATGGAGAACATAAGGAGATACTATTAGTTTGACCTTGGGTGGCGCCGCCAAAGTCAGGTCGAGGTCAACTTTGTTTTTTTAAATAGAAACATATATTTTTTTTATTACGGAATAAATTTTTAATATTACGGAATATTTTTTTATTCTACGTAAAGAAACAAACAACTTTTGTTTGAAAACAATTTTTGTACGGCCTCTATTTTCTAAGATATTTACGGAAATATCTACAAAATTATTCGTTTCAATAATTTTTTACTCGAAGTCTATCAACTTTATCGAAAAATAAGAGATAATGAGAGATAATAGGAAAAAATATCTATTTTCTTCTCATAGAGCTCTGAGAATTTTTTATAAACTTCAAGAACTTCACTTTTTAGTACTTCAAGAAAATGCAAGAAAATGCAGTACTGAGAAGTTAATTAAAAAATTCGAAACAAATTCTCAGAACTCTATGAGAAGAAAATAAACAATTTTTATCTCTTGCTATTTTTCAGTAAAGTTGATAGAATTCGAGTAAAAAATTATTGAAACCAATCGTTTTTTTAGATATTTCCGTAAATATCTTAGAAAATAGAGGTAAAAAATGTTTTCAGACAAAAGTTGTTTGCTTCTTTACGTAGAATAAAATTCCGTAATAAAAAGTATATATTTCTATTCAAAAAAACAAAGTTGATCTCGACCTGATCTTGGCGGCGCCATCTAAAATTAAACTAATGGTACTTTATTATGTCTCCCATCGAATTATATAACTTTTGTTTGAAATATTTTTCCGTATGTTTTGTACATTTCGAGATATTTTGGTGTGAAAGTTAAAATGGGACACCCTATATATATATATACAGTATATATCCCGCATAAGGCGTACGAAAAGAAAAATATAAATAGAACACATAAAAGTGAACAAAAATTGTATAGGTCATTTTTCAAACAACCACATAAAATTTCGAGATATTAATTAAAATATTTGGGCATATCAGAGCGCGGCGACACGGCAGGCAGGACATACGGCTCGCCGTGGCCGGCAGTGAAAATGGAAGAACACACACGTACACGGACGCACACACGGAGCTACTCATTTCAGTATGCCAAACAGTCCACCTCTCTGGCCTATAAGATAGGCCCCCGAGCAATCATTCATTTTTTTCGCCGGCCGCGGCGAGCCGTATGTCCCGCCTGCCGTGTCGCCGCGCTCTGATATGCCCAAATATTTTAATTATCTCGAAATTTTACGTGGTTATTTGAAAAATGACCTATACAATTTTTATTCACTTTTATGTGTTCTACTTATATTTTTCTTTTCGTACGTCTTACGCGGGACACCCTATATATGTGTGTGTGTATGTATACATACTGACATTATAAGCAATAGACTCTACATGTTGCGGGACATCTTGGATATACAAACATGAATAACATCTCAGACAGTATAAATTATTAAATAATATTTCGAGGACGTTCAAAAGATGTCTAAAAAACAAGATGTCTTTTGGACGTCATTAAGATATTTTTAGTAGTTCATGTTGTCTGAGATTTTTTTAATTGCGCAGAATTTAGATCAAAACTGCAACAACTCTTGAATAACGTGGTACTTGAGTTGTACGGAGTTCGAATAATATGGTTACTCAATAAAGGTCTATATAAGTGAAAGAATTGTATGAATTTTAAGTCTCAAATAAAATAGCTTTAAATAATACGGAATTAGTTTATCATATTTTTCGAAGGTTACCTGTACTTAAAGCGTTTTAGAATTTTTCGGTCAAACTTTGTCAGTACGTTCTTTGAATATATATAGAAGTAAAGTTGTATTTATATATATACTTTTTGAGAAATTACTAAAAGTGATGAATGTGAACTTTTATCATTATTATATTTTTAAGTTGTAGAATGTTCTGAATGTTATGATTATTTTCAGCAGCACAGGTACCTATTTTAGGTATTAATATCATATACAGTTTTTGTAATAGAAATGACGGAGCTATTCTTAATAGCAAATAATTACATTAATTAGTAATTTATTGTTATTTATTAATCATTATACTAATAAAAAAAAATGAACACTATCGACATGACCAGAATTTAATTTGCATCTATCCTATTCTCTCTGGTTTTGAAAGAAATGCGTGGTAATATTTATTTTTCTGTGTGTATCTTACTTTGGCCATCAGAAGGCGCTAAGGTAGAAAAAACGTTTTCTTATAACCTATATTAATCAATAGCTCAAATGAAAGGCCTCGTCGAGATTAGATTTAGAATATATATATTTTTATATACGTATCTATAGTTTATAGTTCATGCAATAAAAGGCGTCATAGATCAATTATTTATACATATATAAATATATATTGATAGATCGTTTTGCATTATCCATGGTACATTATAAGAAGATTAATCTACTTAATGAGATCTTTTGTTTGAACTACTTAATATAGATTATACTCTTATAGAAATATCATACTAAGAATCATTGATAATTACTTATTATCCAGTATTTTTAATACTGAAAATAAATAATTATCAATGATTCTTAGTATGATATTTCTATAAAGATAAAGAAACGTATTTTTTCTAACTTTTGGACTCTGATGAATAAACTAAGACGCATACAGAGAAATGAATATTATTGTATTTTCTCTCACAAAAAATTTGAAAGAAATAGAATAGGTGCGAAATCATTCAATCGATCATATCGGTAGTGCTTGTTGTAAGAGAAAGTTCTCAGATAGCACATGTCCTCAGAATATCCTCGATGTACTTAAGACGTACTGAGATCCCAAATAGCAAAGAGAATCCCAAAGAATTCATGTTTATGTCACCAATTCTAATTTCTTTTCAGATGCAAAAAGAATTCTTTTTATATCTGAAAAAGAATTCAAAATTGATGACATAAAAATAAAATCTAATCGAAATGTCTTTTCGAATTCTCTTTGCTATCTGAGATGTTCTGCACATATTTAAGATAATTTTAGGACATTTTATGTTATCTGGGCTATATTGTATTTTGCTACCCTTATAGAAATATCATACTAAGAATCATTGATAATTACTTATTATCCAGTATTTTTAATACTGAAAATAAGTAATTATCAATGATTCTTAGTATGATATTTCTACAAGGGTAGTATATATCTTTTCGTTCATATTGTCACCATGTTTTAATACTGTTAAATGATTTATATTTATATAACATTTTTATTTTTGTTTTGCTCTTTCTCTCTCTCTTTCTCTTTCTTTCTCTTTTTTCTTATAGAACATACTAACGAATTTTAACCGGGAAATCCTGAGATATTATGTGTATATATACTTTTGTGTCGCCCATGTTGCCAAGCATATGATCGATCGATTCCAGAATATGATTTTTTGTGCTGTAAAGGTCCAGCTTCGCCAAATGTGTAGATCCATTAGGTGCAATCTCTCTTGCAGATTTATCAAGTGTTTGTTTAACTAAGACGGAATAAGAATCGTCTCTAGGCATTGTCGGTTTCATTACTTTCCCGACATCGAATTTCCATTTTTCGTTTCTCTCATTGCCTTCACTAAATATAGCAGCTTGGTGACATTTCTGTTTTCCTACATTTTCAAATGTTAGATTAGGTTCCCTTATTTCCTGACATTCGTGTTCATTTTGCTGGTAGTCGACATCACTCTCAATCTTCATATCTGTAATGTATTCATTGTTTCTGCTAATATAATGACATTTTGACTCGAGATTTGATTCATAAGGCTTCTTTCGAATATGTTGGATATAATTCATTGATTCTGCACTATCGGTATCGGAATATCCTTGATCGCCTAGTGATCCCTAAAATAAGTTACAGAGGAAACTGAAGTGATTAATGTTCCTTCGTGATTCTTTTCGTGAGAAATATAGAAAAATATCATTCTAAGAAAAATGACTTAGTTTATTCTAAGAAAAATAACTTAGTTTATTTTCCTTCTTTTAAATAACAGTTATCTTCAATAAAGAATATTTTTTTTAATAATGATCTTATAATATATCCATCACAAATTTTAGAAAAACTCATTATCATGTATTCAAAAGAACACAATTTTTTCTCTTTACACAAATATTATAAAACTTTATTTAAAAAAAGTTAGTTTGACTCTATGTAGTAAGTACAAATTAAACTGTTATTTTAATTTAATATCCCTTTACTAAACTTGAAATACTAAACTTTCTAGATTTCAGAAATTATTTTGAGTAAATTTGATGTTTATAATGAACTTCTGATAAATTTATGGATATATGAACTTACGAAATACTTTTGAAAAAAATAATATTTACTTAAATGTAATATTTTTTTCTGTATATTAAATTTTGTATATATAAAAAAGCACACCCTACCTCTGACTCTTTGCAACGATTATGTTTTTTCAGTGAGCTCTTGATGGGTACTGATTGCATATACTTGGAACATTCTTTGAAATTTTCATTGACGAATTCAGAGTTCACCATGTCTCCTTTCATCCTACACATGTCCAACACATACCTATCATGCTCGCTCCTGCGTTGTCGACGCGTTTGCGATAATCTTTTCGAGCAACGAGGACGAATACTTTGATAATCGTGCCAGCATACTTTTTGTGATAAAGGGCTACTTTGGGACTTTTTGATTACCGGATTAATCGGCTCTGTGAAAACGCGTTTGTACCGATTTAGCATAGCTTCGACATTCCCCAAGGTCCTTCAAAACAAAAAATTGACCTAATTAGAACTATTATTTGATTCTTCATTGATTATTAACAACTATTTGTTTTTGATCTAGCAATAAAATGTAGTAAAAGCTACTGAATGTTTACCTTGATCTATCGAATGAAGAAAATCTTTGTCTCTCAGGTGGGCAATGACATGAAGGACAATGTTTCTTATAATTACCTATTTTCATTTTACGTGCCTCAATATTACGTATTTCTTGGTATTCACAGTTACAGTTAGAACATAGGTAGTTAACATCTTTGTTTACATTTGCAGGTATTCTTTTATATAATTCCATAGTTTCCTAAAATAATTTATTTAGTTACAACAAAATGTTAAATATTTAATCTCATTTAAATGTAGCATCAATTACCATATCCATTATATTTCGCGGCATTGTCGCAACTAAATCAAATATCACGATTTTTGCATACGTAACAAATCTCAATAATACGAAAATCTCTTGAAGATCGAGCTGCTCTTATAACGCTATCACCAGTGTGCAACATGTATTTTTCGAAAAATGCCAGGTTTGTTATTAGTATCTTCACGAATACAGAGTCGAGAGTTCGAAGAGATATAGAAAAAATATACTTAAATAATATAAAAAGTTATATATTATATGTACGAACCGTACAAAAAAATATAAGTTCAATATGTCTCGTCGATGTGAATGTGTTTTGATTCAACGCCAATTTGTCGCAAAATTCAAGGCAGATGTAAAGAAGAATTTAGGGTTGCATTCTAAAACGTCCTTTTTGAGAAAAATTTTGCTCAATACTTATAGTTCACTTTACATACATTATAGATTATCGAGTAAAATTTCCTTAAAAAAGGAATATAGATATCGCAATATCTGTAGGATATCCATAAGATATATTTCGGATATTTATTCTATATGGGCCAGTATGTGTATAGTTAAAATATAAAGCCCATTCTACAATAGCAGTAAGCAATCCCATACAATACAACGTCTAAAATCGGTACATAAGACGTCTCTCAGACGTCGGAATATAAGACGTTCCTAAGGGCTATGTTCAGAAATCCTACATGGGTAGAATTACTTTAACAAACCAATCATGATAAATAAACCTTAGTTCCTTTTGCCCTGATTAGCTAATTAAATGTTACTCTACTCACCGAGTAGGGTTTCTGAACGCAGCCAAGATGTCTTTAAGAGGATGCTGTATACCGACATTATCTATTTCTCACTATTCTTCAATACGGCTGGATAGAATTATAAATGCTTTTACAGTGTAAAAATATAGGTGCCAAAGTATGCAAAACAGCCCAATATAGCATAAAAAACTAACAAAAATTTTATATTTATCTTACATATATCTGAAACTACATCATATTTTCGCTTCATATAAAAAATTCTAAAGGCGGTCATAAAAAATAAAAGTCATTTTGTATGCAGGAAACATTAATGAACATTACGAGACCATCAAAGTACGACTTCAAGGGCTAGATAAAAAAAATAGTGAGTAATACGATTTAGTCGCACGCATGCTGTATCTGGAAAGCGATCCGTGTAGGACTTCAGCGTGACGATGATGGTAAAGAGGAGCGGTATTTTAGTTCCAACATTTCCCGACAGGGAACGCTGATATTCATCACGCATTAAAGTCACTAGATAATATAGGCCGGTATTCATAGTTGAATCTTATCTCAAGACCGTCTTAAGTAATGTCTTAAGATACAAATACGGCTCTGTGATTGGTTAATGACATCTTAAGATAGTACTTAAGATGATCTTAAATACAAGATCGGACTATGAATACCGGCCATAAAGTACCTCAATCCATAACCAATGCTTTAGCGACTCAGGCAGCAACGTGACGTGAATTTCACGTCAGTTTTTGGTCATTTGTGACGTCAATTATCCTTTTATAATCACATAATAATGACATGAAAATGACTGAAATAAGTCACAACCCACCGATATCAATAGGTTTGTTCGAGTTGCTTGTACTTTTCACACTTTTACATCTAATGGCTTCTGCACACAGGACACGGTAATGCTTGCCGTGCGGCGGAAGTTCGCGCAACAGCCAATCAATATGCTGCTTTCCGTAATAACTTTCTAGCTCTTACGGAAAAACAACATATAGAAGCCATAATGGCTCCTGCCCACAGGACGCGGCAATGCTTGCCGCGCGGCGGAATTTCGTGCGACAGCCAATCAATATGCTGCTTTTCCGTAAAAGCTGGAAGGTTATTACGGAAAGCAGTATATTAATTGACCGTCGCGCGGCGGAAGTCCGCGTAACAGCCAATCAATATGTTGTTTTTCCGTAAGAACTAGAAGGTTATTACGGAAAGCAGCATATTGATTGGCTGTCGCGCGAGCTTCTGCCGCGCGGCAAGTATTATCGCGTCCTGTGTGCAGGAGCTATAATAGCTGTTGCACACTAGTGCACCTCAAATAACACAAATTTTTCAAAATACATTCGGAAAACGTTTTCAGGACGGAGGGACGTCATCAAAATATTCTTAGGACGTTCTTTGAAGTTGTGAATTGTCAGAAAATAGCTACCCAGCGAGAAAGGTTACATCGATTCGACGTCTATATGAAACGTCTATATGAAACTATCTACTATCTACGTCTAATCTACATTAAGATCTATATCGACCTAAAAACGGTCCACATTTAGGTGTCTAATAGACCGTAATTTCGACGTCTTTTCGACGTCGATCAATAAGTCATTTCTCACTAGATTATTTCATAAAAATAACTAATTCCTAATTTTCTTTATGTCTTATAAACTGCTAGAAACCGAAGATTGTCAAACACACGCTAAAACTTTCGCGAATCCTGCCTCGATAATTTCGAATTCGAAGTGGTCACCCATCCATCTTGACTGCGTTGCTTAACCTGACGATCGAGCGGCACGCGGTGTTCCAATGACTCCAATGATGTTCTTACAATGATGTTCTTACAATTTATACTTATAAAATGTATACTTATGGCTCCTGCACAGGACGCGGTAATGCTTGCTGCACGGCGGAAGTTCGCGCGACAACCAATCAATATGCTGCTTTCCATAATAATCTTATAGCTCTTACGGAAAAACAATATATTGATTGGCTGTCGCGTGGACTTCCGCGGCAAGCATTACCGCGTCCTGTGTGTAGGAGCCATTACAGTGTTCATAGTATATTATAACGTACCTAGCAAATACACGCGTTGATTCGCCTGTCTACTTTATTTAATATCTCTAAAGTTTATATAGTTATTTGCAAAATGACTTTGATCATTCCTTCCACCCTTATAGAAATATCATACTAAGAATCATTGATAATTACTTATTATCCAGTATTTTTAATACTGAAAATAAGTAATTATCAATGATTCTTAGTATGATATTTCTATAAGGGCAGTTTAATGTTTTTCGGGTAATCTGACATTCCTATCTTTGTAATACTATAATTGAATCGGAAATCTAAAAAAAAAAAACTGACGTTTCCACTTAGAATAAATTTTTATGTAAAACGCGCGCAATCTCATTGAGAAATGACTTATTGATCGACGTCGAAATCGTCAAATAGACGTCGATTCGACGTCTTTTCAACGTCGATCGATAAGTCATTTCTCACTGGGATATTAGACGTTGATTCAATGATGAATAGACATCTAGAGAGATTGTAAATAATCGACAAAATAAAATTCCGAAATTTTATCGGAAACTCTCTTTTAATGGTCAATATATTATGAATGGATTCTAAAACATTAGAATTTACTCAAAATAGAAGACGTCTAAATTGCCATTTTTCTAGACGTACATTTAGACTAGACGTAACTTAGACTTTTCCGACGTCGGTTAGACGTTGAATCGACTGATAATGACTGACGTCGTTCTCGCTGGATAATATCCAATAAGTTTATTCACATTAATTAAACTTTTTATACTTTCACACTTAGTGCACATTAATTCTTTAGAGGTTCTAAAAATGGCGTCATATTTTCCGTTCGTGTTACGAGTATAAATGCAATTCTGATACACTTTTCACTCTTGCTTGGGATTAAGTGTAAAAAGTGTATCAGAATTGCATTTACACTCGTAAATTTAATTCTAAAGAATTAATGTGCACTAAGTGTGAAAGTGTAAAAAATTCAAATAATGCGAATAAACTTATTGGATATTAACTATTTTCAGACAACTCACATCTTCAAAGGACGTCCTAAAG